ACACCATTTCCCTGTCCGAGTTAAACCCCGGCACGTGGTATGACCTGTTGGTGTCGGCCCGGAATGAGGCCGGCCTCACAGAGATGGAGTACCGAGTGGCCACCCTTACGCCTACCGGTGCCACTGTTGAGCCGCTCAGTTCGTACGACCAGAGAGGCAAAGGGTCGGTGCTCGAGGACCCCATGATTCTCATACCGGCCTTCTGTGCGATCGTGGTGTTGGTTGTGGTCACGTGTGCCACGGGATTCATACTCGTGTGGAAAGGCAGGGAAGGGGCCGTAGCCGGCGAGTCGTGTAAGTGTTTTGGGGTTTATTTCACGATTATTTCAAATATATTTAGTTATAATTTTTTTTGTTAAATAAGTTATAATAGGATTTTAATAGTTAGTTACTAGTTGTAGACAAAATAATTTATATTATATAAAAATAAAACAATAATCAGTATCATTGACACAAATGTTTTGCACTTTCAATATTTATTTGTATATCAGTTTTCTTATCAATTAAATGCTATTTCTGATGATAACTTTGAAATTGAAAACTTTAGTCTCTCTCTCTCTCTCTCTCTCTCTCTCTCTCTCTCTCAGCAATCAATTGGTGGAAAACAACACTAAAAATAAGGTATGAATTAAATATGAGAAACATTTATAGAGTGGAGAATGAGATCGGATTCAGTGACTATAGCGAACCCATTGCCATCACTACCACAATGGAAGGTATGCCCATATAATCACTATATTCACCACCGATTCATACATTTGTTTCGGCTATATATGACAAAAATATTAATATTATTATTATTACTCAGTAGTAATAAATAGTTTTGAATACTATTTATTAATTAGTTTTGTGAATATCTTTTGGACATTTTTATGTGTAATTATTTTTCCAATTAATTAATATTTTACGGAAGTCATATTAATTTGTTACATGAATTATCTTATTGATGTTGTATTTTATGATGAGTCTTATATTTGTTTCTAGTAATCGCTAATCCATTACATAACATGACAGATAGACAGTTACAGAAAGCGGATTATTTAATCAATAAAATTCCTTACATAACATAATTATGTTTTAACAATAAGCTAAATATTGATACCTTATATTAAATGTCTATATAATATTCTGTATATAATACCATAAATGATACTGGTAATACAGAATAATCTTAACGTCATTGTAACAGTTAGTCTTAAATTCACTAAAAGGACATAGGAATATATTTTAAATATAAATTTATATACAGTAGACAGCCTAATATAAAATTTAAGTATATATTCATTGAAGTGTCTGTTAAGAGAATAGTTAGGTATTTATGAATACATTTTGTATTATCGATAGAAAAACTCTATTAATTTTCTAAGCGATAGCTGATATCAGTAGCGAAAATCAAANTTTAAGTATATATTCATTGAAGTGTCTGTTAAGAGAATAGTTAGGTATTTATGAATACATTTTGTATTATCGATAGAAAAACTCTATTAATTTTCTAAGCGATAGCTGATATCAGTAGCGAAAATCAAATTTATGTTTCGGTATTACATGTAATTTGATGGATAGCGCCGTCAGTAACACCGCAAGACGTACACTGTGTGCCACTTGACTCCCGATCCATCAAAATCACGTGGACTATAGCGGGCCCTAAATCACAAATAATTGATGGTTTCTATATTGGATTCAAACCATTCAATTCAATGCACACACCGTTCACGTACAAGACAATGCAGACCACGGGTGCCAAACAGGCACAGCTCGACAGGCAGGTCGCCCATCAGGCCGTACACCAGGCTAGCAATGCCGTGGCTGTAGGTGCGGCCGCGAATCGGCCGGCCATTGAGCAACAGATTAGCAGCAAATATGACTATAATATCGATTCGTTGGCCAGGCGTACGAAATATATGTGAGTTTGTGTTTGGTATTCCGTACAGAATATTCTGAATACAATATTCTCGTTTTCAATACACGTTTGCACGTTAATAATTAATTTGTTATTTGAGTTAGATTATTTATTACTTACACAATTGTTGTAACGTATTTTGGACTTTTATCGTTTTATTTATTTTGCAATGATTTTCGTTATTAATTAATAAGTAATGTTAATTTGTTACAACAGTGTAGACTACTAAAGGGCTTATAAAATATGAGTTTTATTTTATAATTAGTTCCGGATTTGTGTTTTGATAAACAGGGCAGTAGAAATTTATTAAATTTTAATTGGAGTTCATAATGAGTGTATAATTTTCAGGCATAAGGAACGGTAGGTATATGTGTTAAATAATAAATCAATTATTATTAATATAATATGCAATTTTAATATTTAAGTTTTTGTTTAATTTTACCATTAATATTTTGTTAGTTTAAGTATATTATACCAAATTAAATAATAGTTAATGTAGGTAAAATAAACCATGATAAATTAAAATACACATACTCCCTGAAAACTATTAAGATTATCTCTGGTATTTCATAAGTTGACAAAGTATTAAATAATATTTTTGCACTAATTAAAATTTAGTACATTTGAATACTATGTATATCTTTAAGGCATTTTACATCCGGATTTTTAATCCAACATAAGAGTTATGTCTCATATTTTGCGTACAATTAATGTTACAAAATATTTTTTTTGATATAATGATTAAATACAAAACTTTCAAGTTTTTAAGTTATCTTTCAATTGAATTCATTTTATTTTATTGATTATAAAATTATGTCAACTATTGAAAGTAAATATTCAAATAATGTGTAAATCAGTTCATAAATTTACAAATTTTATGCAACAGTCAGAAAAAATTGTGACACTTTTTCACACATCTTTTTGTCAATCGATTTATTACAGATTTATTATACAAGCGTTCAATAGTATAGGCGCCGGGCCTTCAAGTGCAGAGACAACCGCCGAAACTTTCTCTAATGGTAAGACCCCTCACATAATGTCACTTCACTTTTTACATCCCTATCCCTTATTCTCTATACAGAATGCTATGTGTTGTATGCATTTTTGATCGATATTTTATTAATGCAAGTCTTGTGTCGATTGTGTGTGTGTGTGTGTGTGAGTGAGTGTGTGTGTGTGTGTGTGTGTATATCAGTTTTCTTATCAATTAAATGCTATTTCTGATGATAACTTTGAAATTGAAAACTTTAACTAGTAATAAAAACATTGCACTCGAAGGCTGTCATACAATATAATAGAAAACAGGACTGGGATTAAAGCCGAGAGAGAGAGAGAGAGAGAGAGAGAGAGAGAGAAGTTTGACAAATATATATAACATTTTCTGATACAGTGTTACATAATAAGTGTCATATCGTATTGAATGGTCGGTTAGTATCAGAATTCGCTGAATAACGCATACCTTTCCGCCCCTAACTCGCAGATCCGCCGGAGGCACCCATTGTTAAAGTGGACAGCCTGTCCACCACTGACGCCACGCTAACGTGGGATATGGCACTCAGGGACGACGGCAATCAAGTGGACGGTTTTATCATCAGTTATAGGATAGATGCCGGTGCCGGCGGTGGTGGTGCTGGCAGTGAACAGTCAGCTCAATGGGAGACAATACAATTGACTCGTCAGCACAAAAGCTATGTATTAAGGAATCTGAGATGTGGTACCACTTATATCGTTAAGATCGAGGCGTTTAACGAAGTGGGCACCGGTAGGGCCAGCGATGAGCTTAGGTTTACTACTGTCGGAAAGGGTGGGTATTAATAGTCAATAGTTTCATTGATTTTTGCGTATACCGTACTTTTAATTAATTATATTGACTGTTTGATATCTTACGGTAGAAATTATATGCATGTATGCATTATACAGTATGAATTATTTTATTGTAATTATATTAAATAAATGCGATTAAAATATTTTGATTTTAGAAAACTAAAATTGGATTAAGATTTAAATGTTCAGTATTTTTTACCAGTAGAGTAATTAACATGTGTTATGAATATAATTTTAGACAATTAACAGTAGATTTTAGACAATTTTAGACAGTATTAACATTTTGCTAACCAATTTGATTCTCCATAACAGCGCCGGTAGCCGGCGAGCGTTCCCTAATCTACACCCCAAACATCACGTTTGTATTGGTGCACCTGAACCGGTGGTCGGACGGGGGCTGTCCTATCAGTCACTTCGTGGTGCAGTATAGGGCCCGACAGCAGCCGGCTATGGATTGGATGCTACACTCAAATCATATACCGCCCGAACAGAACACCATTTCCCTGTCCGAGTTAAACCCCGGCACGTGGTATGACCTGTTGGTGTCGGCCCGGAATGAGGCCGGCCTCACAGAGATGGAGTACCGAGTGGCCACCCTTACGCCTACCGGTGCCACTGTCGAGCCGCTCAGTTCGTACGACCAGAGAGGCAAAGGGTCGGTGCTCGAGGACCCCATGATCCTCATACCGGCCTTCTGCGCGATTGTGGTGTTGGTTGTGGTCACGTGTGCCACGGGTTTCATACTCGTGTGGAAAGGCAGGGAAGGGGCCGTTGCCGGCGAGTCGTGTAAGTGTTTTGGGTTTATTTCACGAGTATTTCAAATATATTTCGTTAAAATTTTTTTTATCAAATAAGTTATAATAGGATTTTAAGAGTTAGTCACTAGTTATAGACAAAATAATTTATATTATATAAAACAATTATCAGTGCAAATGTTTTGTACTTTTCATATTAATTTGTATATCAGTTTTCTTATCAATTAAATGCTATTTCTGATGATAACTTTGAAATTTAAAACTTTAGTCTCTCTCTCTCTCTCTCTCTCTCTGGCTTTAATCCCAGTCCTGTTTTCTATTATATTGTATGACAGCCTTCGAGTGCAATGTTTTTATTACTAGTATATTGTATTTCTGGAGTTAATAACTAATTTATAAAAACAGACTCCAATTATAGTAACAATAAAATAAGAGTCAAACACACACTCACTCCAGAGATTACCTACTAATTGGTTGCTCTCTTAGTTTATTAATGTCTCACTCGTTCTCTCTCTCCCTTTCCCTCTCATTCATACCAATCCCTCCAATTCCTATCCCTATTGTGTTTTGTTTGTCGTATTTTTTACGCTTGTTTTTTGTCACACTTCTGGTGCCCATTGTATTCACGTTGCGATGCATTCATTCAATCCGTTTTTGTCTTATTATTTGTTCACTTAATTCCTGTTGAGTTTAAGTTAATTGAATGAGAAGTGAATGGAGAGAGAGAGAGAGAGTCGTCACATACACACAGATAGAAGAGAGAATTAAGGGAACGGTAGGGGTTAGTACAGACACTTTGAGACACAAAAACAAAAGGATAAACACTTTTATCTCTAATAAGCGGCTGCGAGTCTGTGACTGATGTATAATATAAGTCTATTTAAGACTAAGAATATCTCCAAAATTCCACTCAAATTCTGTGTCTATTTTTTTTATGTCGAAAAGAATTTGTTAATTAATTGTAAGGAATAAAGGATTTTCAAAATTCTATACACTATTCACTCTCTCATTAAGCAGTGGTTCACCCCTTTTGGATAGAAGTGAATGATTCTGTTGTGTATTGTATCGCAAAATAAAGTCATTTATTATGTGCTCTTTATTTCGGGAAAATCTTTATTGCTTTAAATTATATAATGAATAATTGATTGTCTAATAATAATAATACAATACAATAATACAACACCTTTTCCTATACGTATCATCAATACATCTCTCTCTCTCTCTCTCTCTCTCTCTCTCTGGCTTTAATCCCAGTCCTGTTTTCTATTATATTGTATGACAGCCTTCGAGTGCAATGTTTTTATTACTAGTATATACTCTCTCTCACTCTCTCTCTCTCTCTCTCTCTCGCTATTCTGTATAAAATTCTCAATAACTCTCAGTCTTTCAGTCTTTTTTAAGCACTTTTAGAGCGATTTTTCTTTCTAGACTTGTTTTTGATCTTATTTTTTATTGTAAATCATTCTTTAAGTTATGATTAATAGTAACACCAAAACAGTGATCAATGATTTGAGACCATATATTAGTCAAAAGTGAATACTTTTATTGTGTTTATGAAGTTTATGAATAGTAGACACACGGATTGTATTTTAATTTTTATGTGAAGTGCCCAAAAATTCGAGGCTTACATGTATAATATAAATGTAAATTAGTATTCTGTATTTCAAATATATTTAAAGTGGGTTTTAAAATATTGAATAGTTAATTTTTAAATATTGCTACTTTTTACAAAATAATCTATGAATTATAATTAATTTTTAGTAGATTCTGTTTTTTAAAGTTTGACACTAATCTAAACAAATTTTAAACAAACATACCATATAAACACAGAATCGTGTAAATTCTGGATTATTTGTGTATTAATACTTATTATACTAACAATAGATTTCAAAACTAATATAAACTAATACAGTATTATTAAAGTTATTAAAATATATGCCAAACAGATTGTCGGCATCGAGATAATAGCCGTTCCGATGACTTATCCCTTAACTCGTATAATAAAGTGCCAAAAGGGGAGTCTCTATACGACCAGCAGAGGGTGCAAATCTATTACCCGAACGGCTATCCGGCCGGACATGTGGCCACTGGTGGTGTCGGGAGTCAACAGCAGTCGCAGGACTGTAATCATCAGATTCAGCACCAAAGCCATCACATTCAAGGGGCGGCTGATGTGGAGTGCGGTGCCGGTGCCGCACAGGCATTGGTCGACCCCTCGCGAATGGGTCGCAGAGGATACGGCTATATGGAGCACGTCTACGACGTTCCCCATCGTATGCGTGATAAACAAATGGTACACCTTTCCCATCATTTATTCAAATTTTATTAATTGGTTATCTAGGCGTTTTAGTACACATTTAAGCTATACTGTATTGGGTCAGTTGTCTAATATAAGCATGTTTGCTAATTAAAATAGGTGTTGATTATATAGTCAAAATTGGATTTAAGTGTACATTGGATGAAGTTGGGGTATACTATATTTATTATAGGCATTAGATAATAGTGTAGAAAGTGTTTGAGCCTATTATTTGAGAGGTCTATCGCATACAAACGCGATGTTAACGAGTCTTTTAAATAATGGCATAATTTTTTACATCTCAACCCAAATTAACTGATCCCTTGACAGCCATTTAGGTGTTCAGTAAATCTACTATTGATTAGTATTAATGTGTTTTATTTTATTTGTTTGCATTTTGTATTTGTTAGGGACCGGCAGTAAACGAGACTAAGATATCGAGTTATTCAGTGCTGTGGACACAACCAAACGACAAGGAATTGGATGAATGCGGTCCACAACAGGACTCGAATAGTAGGTACAGTCCACTGTCGATGTGTGCTGTCAATTGTGAACCACCTGTGCTCTCCTACACCTATATATCACTGGCTTTTATTTATACGACTCGCGAGAATTTGTGTTTTGTTTTGTCTTTTTTATAGATATATACGGAATCACATAATCATTAAATTGATGCCTATTTTTGTTTATAACAGGTTTAATAGAGTCAACAGAATTGGCCACCGCTTTGACCAACACTAGCATCAGGTGTGCGACCAATTGATTACCCGTTTAATACATCGTTAAGTATACGGTTTAGAGCCATGTATAGGGTTAGGCATTAGAAACGATTAGACATTAGTTGTTTGAAATTGTCATTTGCCAAAAAGGATTGAGATTTCTATGTATATAATAAATGGGATAATTTGGTTATAAAACCACAGAATTGTTAAATGAAATGTTAAATTGAATTATATTTTTATAGATTACATTTAATTGAATATAGGAATCGTTGTAATATTGGTAATAATATTTCCTGAATTTAGATTTACGTATATTTACTTTTATCTAATCTAAGATTTTTATTAATTAATTCCACTGTATATAAGATTTATTTATACAATACTGAGAGCACCCATACTATTATGGCAATGAGTGCCACGATTTTATGGGTAAGAATTTCTACCGGATTTTTATTGTTGTGATAATACGAGTGGAGAGAAAAAAATCGCTAAAATTAATTCAATTATTTATTTATCTTTTTATTGTCCGCACAGTGTTTGTGATGCGAATTCTCATTGCATTTAATTATCGCACGAAATATCTTATAAATAGCGTTCACTTTGTATTGAATTCTGTGTTTTTAGTTTATTGGTCACTGAATTAAACATTAAAAATCTCTTTTTTATTATTATTAGTTTTGTTTGGGCACAAGTTTGCCATCTCAAAAGTTTTACTCACTTTTGTGTTCATTCTATTGGACTTATATTATATGTATTTTAGTTGCGGCAGAGTTTCATTATTTTCCTTATGGTACTACACTGTATAGTACAGTATATAGAAAATTATTGAATATTTATATTTATACTTTCAGATTTAATATACTAGTAATATATTCTTATTATTTATTTTATTGTGGTATTTTTTCAATTAATTAAAACTAATTGATAAGCAAGAATTATTTAAATATTTATAACCTGATAATAGATCTTGTGTTTATAAATTTATTCATTTGCCTACCTATTAATTAAAACACGTAAATATTACTTATTTTAAGCGATTATCAAAATTAAATAAATCTACTCAATTTAATTACTTTCGATTTACTTAATTAAAATTTTAAAAGTTATAAAAGTTTGAGTAATTTATATTACCATTATTCTGTAGAAATTGATTGTCTGACATGTTATACATTTTAAACGCCTTATAATAAACTATTTATTTGTTGATATGTTTGGATACAGCAGTCGTGACAATGAGTCCATTTATACGCAATCCTACGACAGGACGCAATCGACGTGTTTTCACGAGAATCACAAACCGGATGTCGAGTCGAGTGACACGGACTACGAGTCACATATAGACCGCTCTTGGATTACAGCCAGAAGTGCCCGTAATTATCAACTAATGAATTGAGAAAATATTTGATCAGGGTTGAGGAATTGCATACAATTAAACAACTTTCTATTAATAGTGTTTTACTCAGTTGATTCATTTACCTTTTGTATTATAAAATAAATTTTAAAATACTGGCTTATATCATCAAAATATATTATAACTGGGGGTAGTTAGGCAAAGTGTTTATAACAATTTTTGTTTCTGCCGAATGTATTATCTGGGTATTTTTAATTGAGGCTAATATTTTATAAATTCTAGTTTTCCTGTTTTTTGTGACAAATAGTATATTGGGTTTGAAATTCTCATAAAATATTCTCTCAATGCAAATGTAACACAAATCATATGATAATTAATGACTAATTGTGTGATTGTTTTCACAGAATATAACTGTAATAACAGTAAGAGGAGTGCAAACAACAACTCTATTATCGTATGACACCTCTTATGGCATCATATTTATGAAGATTTCAATGATAATTAATGACTAATTGTGTGATTGTTTTCACAGAATATAACTGTAATAACAGTAAGAGGAGTGCAAACAACAACTCTATTATCGTATGACACCTCTTATGGCATCATATTTATGAAGATTTCACACATTTATGACAAAACAAACTCTATTTTCACTCATAATTATGACATTTTTGATCCCAATTCTTAATGACATATAAATTGAAATTCTTGTGAGGAGTAATAAAATTATTTTTACAATTCGTTCACTAATGCTATGTTTTCTTTGAATTGTAAATTACATTAAATCAAATAATTTGATCAGTGTCATTCATCAATAATGCTTTTTTGAGTCAAATAATTTCAAATGAAAAGTATTTATTAAAAGACATTGAATTGTTTTTTACAAAAGTATAGTTTTTTGAACATTTTAATAAAAATTGTAATCATTTACTCAATAGACTTACAGATGTCTATAGGTATCTCATTGAGTCGACATTATGTTTCAAACATTTTCACCGATATTGAAATACCCAGAACAGATTACCAATCATGGCCACCACCCCCTAATCGATACATACCTCTCCCGCAATAGAAATTAACAAATCAATCATTTTTAATAATTTAATTTAATTACTCACAAACCTATTAAAATTTGAGGCAACCAATCACATCCCTGTCCGATGGGCACAAACCCATACCCATAGTTTCCCTGTCCATCATCACATAACCACCTTGGTTATATTAGAAATTTATTATTGTTTCCAACAAACATGTTTTGTATTTAAATCACTTTTAGTTATTGTATATTACGTGACATTTTACACGTTTTTATTATTTTATTGCCTTTTTTTATATAACTTATTCAAAAATCAAGTGCCAAATGAATTGTACGCAAAAATAGCTCAAACTTTATTGAAAACTCAATTTAAAATTTAATATTTAAGGAATTTCTTTTAATACAAAAAATTTCAAATGAATCATATTTATAATGAACTTAACAGTAATATAATTGTTACGAATTTATAGCTAATTAATTGTATGTAAAGTTAATGTTATATAAGATTCCTGTTTTACAATANTATAGCTAATTAATTGTATGTAAAGTTAATGTTATATAAGATTCCTGTTTTACAATAATTGTATATAAAATCTAATTAAATACAGTATAAGTAAAAATGTCAAGAAATTCAATTTATACTATAAATACAACATACCTTTCCTCATCAATGATCTGTACAATGTATTTATAAATATAGTACTGTATACCAACATTTGTTATATTTTTATAACAA